GGAACAAGTTCTGTTCCAAGACCATGTTCATAAGTCCAATTTATTTTTTTTTTGAGTTGGAGTCTCACTCTGTTGCCCAGGCTGGAGTACAGTGGCATGCTCATGGGCCACTGCAGCCTTGACCTGCTGGGCTCAGGTGATCCTTCGGCCTCAGCCTTCCAAGTAGCTGGAACCACAGGCATGTGCCACCACATCCAGCTAATTTTTTAATTAATTGTAGAGGTGTGGTCTTGTCAAGTTGCCCAGGCTGGTCTCGAACCTGTGGGCTCAGGCAATCTTCTCCCCTCAGCCTCCCAAGGTGCTGGGATTATTGGTATGAGCCACCGTGCCCAGCCAGTCCAGTTGTTTGTAAGTTCAACAAAGTTAGCCTGGGAATCCAAGTAACACAATCAACTATACAGTACCAGCTACATCATTGCTGCTTTTACATTTGCTCCTGGACCTCCTAAGCTTGAAATAAAGATACTGTACTACTGTATTCTGTACAGTATTGTACAGTAAAGTATACAAAAACACAACCACTTGTAGCAGATGCACTCACATGACAATGTACACCAGACAAGTGAACTAACTTATGTGACTGGACATGCAAATGCATGTTTGTATCTTTGAAAGTTTGCAACATGAAGGTTCGTAGGTAGGGGACTTACTGTATTTTTTTCTTTGACACATATAGGTACTCAATACATATTTGTTAACTTGAACTATTATCCAAGTTCTCTCCTAACAATACATTATTATCCCATGTTTGGCCTGTGACGCTCATACTATCATAATGAAATGACATCCTTTCATTTAAGTGAAAATAATCCTTTTCCCCAAGAGCTTGGGTTCTGCATATACAACTGCCCCTCAGCAGTGCTGTATAGATGTCTTGCACCTAATGCATTCATTCCTTCAGATATATATATTTTCTTTTTTTTTTTTAGTTGGAGTCTCACTCTGTCGCCCAGGTTGGAGTGCAGTGGCATACTCACGGCCACCGCAGCTTTGACCTGCTGGGCTCAGACGATCCTTCCGCCTCAGCCTTCCAAGTAGCTGGAACTACAGGCGTGTGCTACAATGCCTGGCTTATTTTTTGGTTTATTGTAGAGATGAGGTCTCACCAAGTTGCCCAGGTTGGTCTCGAACCCTTGAGCTCAGGCAATCCTCTCACCTCAGCCTTCCAAAGTGCTGGGATTATAGGCTTGAGCCACCATGCCAGGCCGCTTCAGATATTTTTAAGAGCATGTTCTGAGCCTGGCACTGTCACAGATATTAGAATACAAAGCCAATGCAAAATAAACACACAAATAATAAAGAAAATTAAAAAGACATTGTCCGTAAGCGCTTGCAGTTTTATGAGGGAAGCAAACACAGAAATAGTTATAACACATTACACTGAGTATGGTAAGGGAGACATCAGCAGGTGTGATGGGAAAGCCCAAGAGAGATGCTCATCATAAACTCTCTCTTCTTCTCCCCCAAGACAATTGGCACAGTAAGAACAAGGGCCAGGCAGGTCTCAGCTTCCCCGCCTGCCACCTGGTCAATTGCTTAACATTTTGGATCCCATTTCTTCAGCTAGACACTGTGGATGACAAAGACCTTGGGTATATATTTCAGGAATTGCTGTAAAGAACAAAATAATATACATAGAATGATAAAAGAAACCTCATCCATGCTGCAATAAGTACAAGAATATATATGTGTACCAGGACTCTATGTCAGTCTCTCCTGCAACTTCCCTGTTCCACAAATAGTCTTGTCCTTCTCCAATTCACCCCCGATTAGAATCTCAAAACCATCTTTGCTGATATTAAAACCTACTTGATCATGTTTTTCAAAAAGGTGCCAAAAAATCATCTTTGCTGGCTTCTTCCTTACCCTTCACACCAATGTCACCAAGTCCTACCCACCCTCCAAACGTTCCCTGCATCCTGCTTTTTTTCTTTCAGTCTTGTCACAGCCTCATGCTCTCCTTGTCACAGCGCCTCACACCTGGACCGTTGTGACAGAGCCTCCTGCTGGCCTGTGTCCCTCAGCTCCATTCTTTCCAAAATTCAGATGTCTCTTCCTTAAAGATTGCTTTATTTATGTCATTCCCCTGCACAAATAAATTCAATGTTTCTGTTAATATCCGAAGACCAAAATCCAAACCTTACAGCTTGACATTTAAGGCTTTGGGCAATGTGGCTCTATCTTATTTACCCAAACTTATCTGGTCTCAGCATAAACCTATAAAATCAGCGGGACTGGCTTTCTCCTGTCTCCTGAACAAACATGCGTAAGCCTGGATACACATAACTCATTCTCTCTTTCCTTGTGGCCTCTCCCAGCCTAAGTGGCTACAGTGAAGAGGAGAGATGAGCCCACAAGTAAGACGCAGTGACAATACAGCGGGAGAGGTGCCCTCTGCCCTCTGGGAATGCCTCCCCCTCCTGCTCATCCTTCAGGACCACACTCAGGGCACATGTCCCCCGTGAAGCCTTCCTTGATGAATGCAGCACCCCTGAACACCTGTGGCACTCACTCTTTGCACTCACTCATATAGTGAGTATGTCTCAAACTTGAGACACAAACAGCTTGGCCCCACCCCCAGAGATTCTGACTCAGGAGGTCCAGGGTAGAGTCAGAGAATTTACATTTTTCAGCAAGCTCAGGTGACCAGGGTCTGCAACATTGCATTAAGTACCGACATTGCATTAAGTACCACTGCATGGATGACCTTGGACTAGTTACTTCCACTCTGGCTCTTTATGGGCAGGAAACATGTCTTCAGTCTCTTTGTGGATCAGTCCCCAAGTCCAGCAATTGATTGCCTAGCACTGAGAAAGTGCCCCCCAAATTTCACTTTTACTTATTCAGTGTACTCTGCCCTCCAAGTTGTCATTTTCTGCTTACAACAGCCCCACCAGCTAGGGAGAAAGGGCATCCTTCTCACAGACTTCTGGGGAGAGAATTCAAACCACCGCAGGGCAGAGACTGGCTGGCGTAGGCTCAGCCCCAGAGCACAAGCCACACAGTTGCTCTGCTTGTGGGCTCCCTGGTACCGGCCCCTCAGGCCCGTGTAGAACTTTAAGCCCAGTCTCTTCCTCTAGAAAAGAGAGGAAGTTACTGACATCTACTGAGCAACAACTCTCTGCCGAGTGCTGGGCGTGAGAATTTACACATTATTTTAGGGATCAGGGCAGTAGAGTGACTGCCCCCAGTTTTACACATGTAGAATGCAGAGACCCAGGACACCCAAGTTTTTATGCCTCATCCCATAGCGCAGAAGAGGCAGAACAGGCCAGACAAGGAGAAAGTGACTTCGCATTTGCTGGAGGTCAGTTGTATCCAGCTGCATAGTTCTAGGCAAAAGCACCTAGAACAAATAATCCTCACAATTACTTTGCAAAGGAGATTTCCTTTCACCCATTTTAAAGATAAGGCACTAGTCTCAGAGAGGTTATGTAACTTGCCCAAGGCCACACAGCTGGAACAAGGAAAAGCTGTGGGGGGCAGAGCTGGAATTCCTGGTCTGTCTGATCCCAAAGAGTCTGTTGGTTCCACAGCCCCGTCCTGCGCCATGCCCGGGGGTCTGTGCACAGATTGCATAGCACATCAGCAGCAGCGACAGGAGTCGGTCCCAGGTCTCTGCGCCCCCTGCATCCTGACAATACCTGGCATTCTGTCTACTCAGGCTGAACAGGGGCTGGATTCGGGCTCTGTCCTGGCTTCCATACACCAACTGGAGACTACTTCTAGGGAGGTTATGGTGCACAGGAAAGAGGGGGAGAAAGCGGGGGATACCAGGCCTTGGATTAGCCAAGAGGTCGGCCCGGGTAGCATGGCCCCTGGAAGGCCGGTTTCTGTCGGCTAATTGGGAGGTGGGGGGTTGTTCTTCTTCCAGATCCAGCTGCCTGAGAAGTTGAGAAAAGTGTGACTGTCCCCTCCACACCCCCCCAACTCACTCCACCTTCACAGACCCTCCCAAGGGCAGGCTTCCCAGACACAGATCTGGGGGTGGCTCATAGAGATATGCAGGATCAGATTCAAGGTGACACACACCAGCGTACACAGAACCATCCACCGCCCTCGCCCAGACTCTCCTACAGAGGAAGCAGATGCACACAGAGGTCAGCCGCGGCATCCCGCGTGGAAGACTGCTGGTGCCCACACTCCCAAGGATACCCACAGAGGTGCAGGGCATGACCTCCACCAGCCACCTTGGAGGTCCCCCCGGAGACTCAGAAGGATGGGAGAATGAGCAGTGTTTCTTCCATCCCTGCCGCGCTGCCCTCTCCCCCACCATGGAAGGAGTCCCATTCTTAGAAGGGAGCTCTGGTTCCTTCCCACCATTTGTCCTTTCCCCAGGCTCAGTTGAGTCCCCCTCTGGTCTGGGGCGCCCTGAGGCGGGGGTGGGGCTGGAGTGCAGACAGTGGAGGGGGAGGAGGAGGAAGGACGGTGGAGGGGAAGGTAGGAGCCGGCCTGGGGCTTCTGGATTGAGTGCAGGTCGGGGGGCCTCGGCCACCTCACTTTCTCCCCATGGCAGCCCCGACGGTGGGAGGAAGGGGCTGACCCGACCGATGCCAGGATTCCTTGGTCCTTAAGGGGCTGGGAACAATGGTCTGAACACCGGGAGGGGAGTGGCTTGGGTGGCCAATCTCCAGAGTGGTGAAATTTGGGAGACTCGTGCTTGGCCACGGCCAGAGGGGCTGACACTTGTTGCAGAGCCCCTAGAGTGGGCCGTTTCCCCAGGTTGGGCTCCCCAGTGGCCTTCCTGAGGGGCATGTATCAGATTAGGGGTGAAGGAGGGTAGTTAGCCTCACTGGGAAGCCTGTGAGGGGAGGGGAGGAGGGTAAGGGGCGTATTGGAAACGCCTTCGGCTCACAAGGAGACCCCGAGGAATGGCTTGGGATGGGGTCCCTCCTGCCGCCCCTACCAGCCCGCGTCAGCAGGTGCCAGCATGCTGCAGTCCCATCCTGGCTCCCTTCTGCGTGGAGGAGGGAGGGCTAGGGCCGGCCTGACCCCCTTACCGTCTGCGGGGGGCTGCCCACGGTCATCTCCACGTAGTAGCCCTGACCCGACTTGCCCCTCAGGTTGTCCACCATCTCCACAAAGCTGCCCCTCCGGCCGGGCTCCTCGGGCTCCTCGTCGGTCTCCCGGGGCAGCCGCAGCCCCAGGGGGGCGCCCCCCAGGCCGCTGCGCAGGGGCAGCCGGATGCCGAGCTGGGTGCCCTGGGCGGGCAGCACGCCCGAGCCCATCCACAGCAGGAGCCAGGGCAGGGCTTGGGCCATGGTGGGCCCCGGCCTTCGGGCCCTCTGGGCTGGCACTGGCCCGCGTCCGTCCGCGTTCCCTGCCCCCAAGCCCGGGTGGCGGCGGCGGTGGCGTCTCAGGAGAGGACGCTTGGAGGCATCAGGGCTCCAGAGCCTGCAGGCCCCTCGGCCAGCCCCCGGGTCGGGGCCGCGGAGAGCCGGCAGGAGAAATCCGCAGAGCGCGAGAGACGCGGGGAGGCTGCGATCCGGAACTCGCTACATCGGGACGGAGGAGGCCAGCCTCGGCAGCGGGGTCGGGCCCCGCGGGGGGCTGGGAGGGGCGGGCATGGCCGGTCGGCGGCGGCGGCTTTCCCGGTCCTCCCGGCGGGCTCGGCGGTGCAGGAAGGGGCAGGGGCTCCGGGCTCGCGCGGCTGCGCTGGCTGCTCAGGCCACCGTCATCCAGCTCCCAGCTCCAGGCTCCCAGGCGGGCTGGGGAGGCGGAAAGACTTGTGGCGGCGGCTGTCAAAGCCAAAGGGTTCTCGCTTTTCCCTGGGATCGCTGGGAAGTGTAGTCTTCCCATGGCAGGCAGCCCGGCTTCCGGGGCTGGAGAGGGGTCTGGGATGCCCTCTGCCGAGGTGGAGTCCACCCTGCAGGACCCCGGCGGGACAGGCTCTCCCGGCCCTGACAGTGCCCGAAGGGCCGTCGGGGTAGGGCGGCGGCACTCCTCTCGCCCGGCAGTCCTTCTTTCAGCATTGATTGAGCACTCACTGTATGCCAGGCACAGGGGCTATCGAGAAATAAGATGGACATATACCAAAAGGGGTTCTACATGGGAGAGTGAAGTGACTCCTGCCACAGCGGGGTTCCATACAAAACGACGTGGCTTTAAGGAATAGGGATTTGGGGGAGCCTCCGGGGGGGAGCCAGGAAGGCTTAACGAGAGAAGGTGGTATTTCATTTGGACATTAAAAAACGGGGAGCATTTCCGGGAGCAGAGAGGGGGGAAGAGCAAGATTAAAGGGGATAGAAAGGTCTTCTAGGCAGCAAACCACATGTAGGGTCCAGAAGGGGAAAGTTTGTTTCCCCAGAGCATGCTACAAGCCCGCGGGTCATCTCCAACCTGAATCTTTTCAAAAAGATTTGAGGCTCTACTTGCTACACTTGCTGTGGAACCTCATAGCCCCCCTAATTGCTGCACCAACAGTCAGCTAAACTAAGGATAAATGGCTGTTGACAGCTTTAGAATGTAATCATTCCAAGCAGTATCTGTATACGAACTGGTAAGTGCTTCAAACGAAAAGTCTTCGAGTTCTAATAGCTTGAAAGGGAAAAGCCCATATGATGATATCAATATATTATTTATCAAATGTGGAAAGTCATTGATAAAATGCTGTCACCGTTCTGATTTAAAAAAAAAATCTAAAGGGTGACAAACAAGATAACAGAAAATCATAGAATGCCTAATAGTGTCAGGCTAAGTTATTCCCATTAAAGTCAGACTTGGGAAGGAAAAGGTCATTACCGCTACTTTTGTTCCACACAGTTCAGATCAGTTTAGCCAACTCCAAAAGACAGGAAAGTGGAAAAAATGCTACAAATAGTGGAAAACAAAGGGATTATCATTTGCAAGCTATATGGTATGGATAGAAAATCCTAACCAGTCAGGTGATTAGACACAAGTTAAAAATATAAACAGGTCGGGCTCGGTGGCTCAGCCTATAATCCCGCACTTTGGGATGCCAAGGTGAGTGGATTTCCTGAGCCCGCGGGTTCAAGACCCGCCTGGGCAACTTGGCGAGACCTCATCTCTACAATAAATCAAAAAATTAGCGGGGTCT